GTATAGCTGACATGAACATAAAAATATTCATAAAATATCTCATGACACAAAACAGTAAAAGCTAAATTATGAAGACTAAATATTCCGTGTGTTCTTATACATGCACAGATAACTGCTTCCCAAATGCCTTTTTCAAGCATCATATAAAGGAAACAATAAACAATTTATGGGTAACAGATCATAAATATATGCAGTGCTGTATGTCCAATGGGCATAGATATTTCATCGTGTAAGACATGATTACTTGGTTTATGCATGGCATGAAACGTGAGTTGTTTGCAGCTACTTAAAACCATTTGGGACACAATAAACTGTTGTCGAGATTTATCCTATTTAAATGTATTGCCCATCCCTGACCATAGAGCATGTTGTCTTGTATTTATCAGAAGGAACACTTCTAAAACGGACTGAGAAACTCGATTGTTATCATTGTCTTAACTTAAAAAGACTACACCTTTGTATAGAGTTCTGTTAAAAGAAATCCTGCTGCTTATCATAAGCACGTACTTCCCCAAAGTTCCTGTTTTTTTAGAAGTCTTATTAATTGCAAATGTTGTTTACTAGAGGAAAACCATGATTGAAGCTGTAAAACAAAGAGAATAGTGGTAACTTTAATCCTTTCAATAAGCCTTTGTTTCCCATTGACTAAAAACTTCCTAAAGGAAGTAGAGCTGCGAAAATCCAGGAAGGAATTAGATTTGCCAAATTCTGCTCCTACTTGGATTTAGATGCAAAGCCTTTGTTATTCGTTGTACAAATGTTTGAGTAAAAAAAGAATGATCAAATAAAAAAATGCATTTTTACCAAGGTTGAAAATTATAAATAGAAGAGCTTTCCCTATCACAGAATACATAACTTAAAAATAAATATTACATTCATTTTTTAGCTGCTGCTGCATTTTTTCAGTATTTTTTTTTCTTCTGGTTATCTAAGGAGAACTCAGATACTGGTCTGATAAGGATCATACAAGAACCTAGATAAGTAAATGAACATGGGAAGAAAAATAAAAATGCAACTTCTTACTTAAATTAAGCATGATTTGCAGCATGTAAAAGAAGAGAAATCTTTAAAATCCCTTTCCATGACAACGAGTAATTGCATACTGGAAAGTGTACTACTGTGGCAATAAAGCTGAATTCCCTGAAGGCCATTCAGAGACACTACCAATTTGTTGTGTATCTTTTTTCCACATGCTCATTTTAACACTGTACCAGCTCATGCTCTCCAGGATTTAACTAGCCAAACATGTAGAGTCTAGGTGAGCATTCTCACTTATTCCATAGGCCAGAGGCCCTTTTAATTTCTTATCCTAAAATAACTTAAATGCAATTCCTACCTCCTTCCCACAAAAGCACTGTATATTTAAATGCCCATTTCTTGTTCAAGAGTACACTGGAATATTAGAGAATATTTGAGCTACCATTCTTGTAAAGAAATGCTAAGAATAGACCATGAAAGGTGCTGACTACTTTGTCATGATTTCGGTGGAAGTGTTGCTTAGCATATTGTAACACTCAGCTCTTAAGTACAAACAGCTCTACAGTTTAACAAAGGTGTGTCAGAGGTTTGGCCACGCTTAGCTGGATCATTGACTCAGAAACATTAAGCTATGCAAGATCCAGCAGCCAAGAGCAGGCAAAGAAACGTTGTATTTCACATCATGTCCAGCTCTATCTACTGCTAGCTCAAACCATCAAGTACAGAGACGCCAACTGGGTGTGATCTTCAGCCTAAGCAGAAACAAATACCTCTGTATCCCTAATGAGATGCACTAACAATTCTGCTATGGAAATACCCATCTAACCTTTGTAACACTGTTACACATTTGACCCAATTTTTGGAGTAGCTTCAGTTTAGGCTTTGGCGGTTGCTAATGTTTAAATATCTAGGACACATTAAATGACACCATTTATGCTGACTTAAAACTTGCTTTAAGATGTTCCTGTATGTTAATAGATATGTGGAGAATATTTTCAGTATTCATTGACAGACCCTAAAATCACAAAAAAATGTTTTAGTGGGATAAAATCATAACAGGTCAATGAAGAGGAGAGAGTAGAGAGGGGAGAGGAGAGCAGAGGAGAGCAGAGGAGAGGGGAGGAGAGGGGAGGAGAGGGGAGAAAAGAGAAGAGAAGATGATTTCTGCATTCTACTTTTAATCACAACACTTGACAACTCTCTCCCTTTAAGATGGAAAAGCCAGTTTTAATTTAAACTACAAACTGTTGACCAGGCCTCAGCTTGCCTTTGCAATTCACTGTATGCCTGAGGGATGAATTATTTAGCATTAGCACATGGTATGTCATGTCTTGTTACTTAAGTGTAATATGGCTCCCATCCAGCTATCCCCGCAGGGCTGCCCGATTGGCTGTGGGTGATGTCATTTCCATTTGGTAATCCTCAGCAGAGCCCCTGGAGACGACGCTGGCCTCCCAGCCCCTCTGCCTCCAACCTGGGCCCAGCAGCGGGTTTACTCCTACTTATCGCTCTAAGGTTCACTGCAGGTACTGCTCCAATTAAATGATTTTCAATAACAGTGCAATGAAACAGAAGGTGCAGCAGATAAGCTACATCACTTTTACATAGTATCGTTTTCTTTATAGAAAACTTGTAACAATTTTTGTGAGATGCATATAGCAGAACACCAGACTAAATTTCTGCCAAAGCTTCAAATCAGTTCACAAATTGTGAAGGGTTTATTTAACCAAAATATAAAAATAAATATTGGCAGTAAAGCTTTTCTTTCTAAAATTAATTTGTTTTCTATTTGCAGCGTATTGTAGATTTTTTTCTCTAAAAAAAGTGCTCCTACATTGCAAAAGAAAGGGATTCTGGAGAAATTACCTTAGAGCACAACTCTGGAAAATGCTTCTTCTAAAAGACTGGCAACTAAATAGTTAACTACAGTGCCTTTACATGGTCATCTTTTGTTTTTAGTCAATACCCTCATTATTTTAAAAGGATACTTCCTACAAAACCACCTTCAGATTATTTGCCCATATAGGTAATAGTCATTATGCCATTCACTATTGGAAGGCTTCCAGCATAAAAATAAGAGTTACAGGGTTGTTTCGCTTTTAATGAATTTTAGAGCAAAGTCAGTGCAATGCCGAGAATTACAGGGCAGTTTCAGTGTGGTACAGATGGTACTGTCTACTCAGTGGTGAGGCACAAGCTTTGCATCAAAAAAAAGTTCAGCAGCGGTTCTGCTCAGCCTTGTATTCTAGATGACAGGTAACAAAAATACAAGTGACAAGCCCTGAGAAAACCAAGCGTTTTGTTACTGTTAGATTCTTGTTTAAATAGACTACATGATACTCTCAGAACTTCGTTTCTTGTGGTGAGGAGGTATGTAAACTGACTGTGATTTGTCTTTTCTGCTGCTGGATCTCAACTTCTTGCAATATAGTGTTCTGCATTAGAAGAAAGGATTTTGTGAAAATAATGTGGTCTTGTAGCAGTGAAGTGCGTAATTCTATGAGACAGAGACAGTAGGGGAACTTTGCAAGGGGAATCCCACAAGAAGAGACACTGAACCAAGGTAGTACAAACTGCTCTACAATAAACAACTGTAAGGCAGGAAACGAACACCAATCGATACTGCAAGAGGGATTGTTAGTCAAATGTGAAAATTCAAAACTGCAATTTAAATCAAGACTGCTAACTCCCTCTTCTCGTATTGCAAAAAATAAGCACACTATGGCCATACGATTCAACAGCTGCTCAGAACTTTGATTTTAGACATTTGAAAGTTGGCACCTGCAGCAAGTCCTAGCCTCATACTGCAGCATTGATTTAAGCACCCAGCCAGAGGGAAACACCTGGATTTGCTCTTACGTACATTCTCTACAAATTACTCGACCTACTTGGGTTTCTAGCTAACTGATAAGTAGCAGGATTAGGAGGCAGATAGGAGAGTAAAGTGCTGCCAGGGTGAGCACTGGCAAATAGATATTACGTGCAAGACGGGACAAAATTGGACTTTGGTTTGCCCACTCAGTTCAACCAAGTACGTCAGCACAAGCTTGCCCCTGTCGCCGTAGCTGACAAATCTAACACGTTACCTCACACCCTAATGTGTCACATTGCAAAGTAGGGCAACTGAGGACCAAACCCATCCGCTGCGCTCCATCCTGGCTCCAGAGTCAAGGCCTAGACGAGCACAACCGCTGCCAGCCTCGGCCAGCTGCGCTGCGCGTGACAGCCTTCGGCTCAGTATCACGGTGCCTGGCTGGAGGCCCTGAGC